GGACCCCAGTTTGAGTCTAAGCTCTGAATCTATAGGACTTTTCCACTCTTAAAGTTTTGTAGTTAAGATTTTTTTTCTCTTTAAGCTTCTTGGATATTTTTCATATTTTTCTGTGGGATTTTAGAAAGGCTGGAAATAAAAGACAATAAGGTCGGTTCAGAGACAGGGAACCCTCTGCACAATGATGTATAAAAACATCCTAGCAACATACTAGGAGGCATTGGGTTACCCCAGGCAACAAGCTCTATTCTTACTGACTAGGTAATTACAAATGAAAGAACAAACATACGGCGGTACAATATGTCCTGGTTGGTTACCCACCCCAACTTCAACCACAGCAATTTATTTATATATTTTATATAACTTATATTTGGTTTTTATATTTTGAAAACATATTATGGTAATTTTTACATGGTCAGCTCTGTTTAAACTGCTCTATCTAGTTTGAGTTTATTGAGAATGAGCACTCTGTCTTGCTCGTCTCTTATCTACTGAATCGTGTATCATTGCCTAGTAGTGGTAATAAAAAGTTTTAAAACGATAATGATAACTATAGTAATATTGGTTAATCCTTATTGAGCACTTACACATATCGGGTACTGAATCTACTGGCTTTACAGGAATTAGTAACTTTGTTTAATTTATGAGGAAACTGACATACAGAAAGGTTAACTAAATTGCCTGAATTTATGCACCTAGGTAGAGCTAGGATTCCAATCCAGGCAGTCCGTCTTCAGAGTCTGTGCTCTTTAACCCTCTGCTATGGTACTCAAAAAAACTTGCTGAACGGATCATTGAGTTCCAACATGAATCCCCCCTGCCCCCGTCTCTTCCTCTATGTTTCACTGTTGGATCTGTTCTCACAGACTGTACTTTACCTTCTACCTGCATCTCACCCTTTCAGTTTGGATTTTAAATTCCTCACTTAAAACCTCCTCGGTAATATGCCTCTCTCCTCCTGCTTTATTCTCTCAGGAAGTTCCTCAATTTCTTTCACAGTCTTCATCTCAAATGTAATCAACCTTGACATGAAGATGGTCATTTGAGTCTTAAATGTCACTCAATTTCACTTCAGATCGTAGTTACCAATCTTCAGGCCCAAGAATCGTTACTGAGCCTGGAAAACTAATGGAGAAAAACCTGTTGCCGTCAAGTCACTTCGGACTCATAGTGATCCTATAGAATTGAGTAGAACTGCCCCATGGTGTTTCCAAGGAGTGCCTGGTGGATGCTGACCTTTTGGTTAGCAGTCAAACTCTTAACCACTATGCCACCAGGATTTCCAGTTGACTTGATGGCACCGGGCTAATGGAAAGCGAGCACATATCAAAATGATAGCTGTTGTGGTTGGTCATTTTACATAAGAATTTATTTACAAATGACTGAATTTTCATTTGGGACATTGAGTTTTTTCCAATTTTTATAGGCATGGCATTTTTTCCATTGTACACTATAAACATAAGATGTGATTGAAAAGTCTTTAGGATTCCATTTTATCACACTGGAAAGAAGGATACTTTTCAGTAATTTTAAAAATATCTCCTCATTATCATTCTGTAAGCATTCCATGAAATAACAAGTACCAGGCTCCCAGCTGCATTAATTTTTAACTGTAGGCCTAATGCAGCAGGATACCAACTCTATTTATCAAGTTCTTGCGAAGAGAATGGGGTAATGATTTACTTTAATAGGTTGAATTTTACACTTTTGTTCCAGCAATCCTGAGCCATTCACTGCATTCTTCCTACCTGGTAGTGATCCAGAGTTTTCTGTAAAACCTGAATTTGGAGAACTTCCACCTTTTGGCACTGCTGGAGCCCTCATTAATGTGATATTTAGACCCCAGATGTACAGCAAGAAATACAAAGCAACGTTAGTAATACAGGTGAGTTCAAGAAAGACAATAGTCAAGGATATTTAATGTTACTAAAGGCATTGAATGAACTAGGGAGTAAAGGTATCACCCATTGATCACAAATAAAGAATAACAGTATTACCTTTTGAAAGTCAACTTATTTCAACTGTTACATCTTATTTTACTTTTATTTTGTCTAGCAAAGAACTTTTAAAAGAGAAATATAGGAAAAAGGTTGTCAACACCAGAAGAAAGTAAGGAAGTACTTCTTTTCTACATTAAGGAAATGTGGAAGATACAAACAATGACTATAAAGTGATTTGGACATTAGTATATTATTTTCTATAATGAACTTGTTCAAATACTTTATTAAGTTCACGTGATTTGTGATAAAGTTTGTGGAGTCTTTGATTAAGGCATATGGTATTGTCAAAATGTTGAACTCTAAAATGAAGAAAATAAAATAGTAGATTAAAATAGTTTATTTTTATTTTATTGTACTTCAGGTGAAGGCTTACAGAACAAATAGTTTCTCATGAAACAGTAGTACACATGTTGTTTTATGGCATTGGTTAACAACCCCACAACATATTAACCCTCTAAATTCTCAACCTTTTTTTTTTTTCTGGTGAAAATACACATAGCCAAAGATACACCGTTTCAAAAATTTCTACATACACAGTTCA